AGATCTGCTTGTCCTGTGGGCGCTGAGGTCATGTGGAAGGCGTGCCTGTGGACCTTTAGAAAATAATCCTTGGGTGTGAGTTTCAGGCTGCCTGTCTGAGTGTCCGGGTTAGGACCCTGTGTGTTAGCACCCTTGGACGAAATGCCCACAATCCCGTGTGATCTCTGTGTGACGTCCAGTTTAACCAGGTTGCCCTTTTCCGGAGAGCATGAAATGGCATCCTGACTCTTCTGTGTTGTGGCTTCCAGTCTGCAAGGCCGTGTGAGAGACGAGAAACGAACAGAGTGTGAAGCACAGAGGAGAAGTAGGAAAAGGTCACTTTCCAAAAGAGAAGTAAAAAAAAAGAAGAACGTTTTTGATTCTATTGTTGTCATTTCTTGAAAGGTCCCCAATTAATTTCCTCATAATTTGTGGGGTGGTCCTTCTATTTTTTTCCACATACAACGTAAGACAGGATTTATTTGAGATTTTTTGCTTTATTGCAGCTCACCAAGGTTAAAAAAAACAGATCGCCGTATATTTCCGTGGTCAATTTTCAAGCTCATGTTAACCTTGGCCTCAGATTATTGCCACATATACCACATAATGACTTTGTTTGCATGGATTATGTCAATATGTTTCTACTGTCATATGATACGGGGAAACATTATGATTATGTGCTCCGAAACAGAAGATCAGAGAAAAAGAGATAGGCTTCAGTCCAAGTCTTTTTGTTGGAATATGTGATCAAGTTAAGAATGGGATCTGTTTAAACAATCTGTCCCAGGCAAAAGAGCCCTAATGGCTTAAGCAGAGTGGACAGACGGGTTTCTGAACAGCCCTTCCCAGCCGGTTCCCTGAAAGAGGTTTCGCCCACCAGTGCGTTTTCAGGTTGGGACGGGCCGAAAACAAACTTTCAGGGCTGGACATGAAACGCAGGAAGGAAGGTGGAGGGTGACTCTGAGAGACAGCCTGTGGGACACAGGGCACACGAGCTGCCAGTGAAAATCAGGGGGAGGGCGCAGCACACACCCACAGCCCGATATATAGGCAGGTTGAGAAACATCTGCCCCAGCCCGACACAACCACCTCTGCAGGGCTGAACACACACGCAGGTAAGACCTCCTTTCAGTCAGCTACTCTCACAGCAGCACAGAGCTTTGCATGCATGAGCCAGTCTCTGCACAGGCAGAGACCACCCCCCAGGGGCGCGGAGCTCGAACCCAGGGCCCGCAGACACAGCAGGAGGGGGTGCTCAGACTCGGCTCTGGCAAAGGGGCAAGTTTGGGGCAGCTTTCAGAGTGCAAAGTGTCAAACCTGTTACTGAAGCGAACAACTGCTTGCTAGCATCTGTTCTTTCTAGATTTCTGAAGAATTGTGAAATGTGCAATGTACAGTTATACTATTCTGTATCTGTAAATCATACAATATACAACTATATATAAATATAATTACTTATACCTGAGTTATAGGGCATAAAGTGTACAGTCACCTACTGTGATCTTGGCAGAGGTGGAGGACTTGCTCCGTTACCTTTTATGGATTATTAGACGCCTTATACAGTTTCTGGAACAGTATTTAAAAAAAATGACATTTCTTTCATTGAATTTATCCAGCCCACTACAAAAAATGAAACTATTGTTTTGATTCAAGCGAGAACAAAAAATAACTGATAAACATAGATAACTCATTATTGCGCAAAAATGTGGAGCCGAAAAAGGTGAGGCTTTGAGAGTGGATACGATTGAAGTCTTAAATGCCTTTGCAAGTAGGTTGACAAATCCCATGAAAAAAAAATGTGTTCTGATTTAGATTTTATGGGTGCTGGGATAGAATTTTAAATAATTATATTTTAAAATAACGCAAGTCTAGTTTGATCCGTAGTTGATCCACAGATCTTTTTCTCCCCTGCAGAATAATTATTCCTTTTGTACTGTTCCCATCACAGCGTGATACCTGTCGTAGCCGAACTTTGAAATATTTTAAAGCCATTTCAGGCCTAAAATTGCAGTGTCCTAAAATATGAATAAACAAGAAATGTTTATTTCTGATGGACTCTCAAAGACGCCATAGGCAGAAATGAGATGAAATGCTGAAGACAAAGGGAGACCTGTGCATGCCAATTGAACCTGCGGTGTTTTATTATTCTTGAAATCCTTGCAGGCTGAAACCCAGTGTGAGCAGCTCTGCCTTCTTATCTCTGACATTGTGCAACCATGCCCTTAGCGAGTTGTACCGTTGGTCTTGTACAAACTTGTTGTGTGTAAGGCACCTTGTCTGAGCATTTGGGAAATGCCTTCAAGTCCATACAGGACCACTATAATACTTCCACCTGTTGAGTCATCTCTGCCAAAAGGGTGTATACAGTATATCTAATTCATGGCTAAATGTCACTGTACCTGTGTCCAGACCTTCATAAAGTTACCATTGTAAGAAAGGGAAGACTCCTGCCCTTAAGGTGCACAGTTCAATAAGTCTCACAACCCTGGAGATGTGTACAGTTTGCAGTCAGCCTGAGACGTATTTAGGGACCGTCCCAGACACTTTTATAAATCTAAATGGCTTTTGCAACTGTGCTAAAACACAACTGTTAATGGAAAGACAGACAGGACTAGGAGAACAGCTTTGTGAAAATGCCTGTGTTAGAAACTGACACGAAATAGCGACTCCCCCTCCTCACACGGCCGTCTGCTTTAAAACCTTCTGGACAGAGTGCTTCTCCAACAGAAAACTTGAGCGGCAGTATTCGTCTTTTGACTCTGCGGAAACAGACAGCTTTGACATTAGTCCAGCACGGGCTCAGAGGGAGCGTCACGGACAGTTTGCCCACAGAGTAACACCATCGCCCGTTTCTGCCACGAAAACACAGGCGGTTTACGAAGGTACTGTAGCTGGGGGGCTCAGTGGCTGATTGCAAGCAGTGCTTGTGGATGATGAGGGGCTCCGCGCCTTAAAACAGAAGATGCTCTGGCTCTTACAGAGGTAGGAGCACACTGCCCGAGCACCTCCTCTGTGCGAACACAGGGAACACGTTCCTGTTATTCCATCTGTCCCAACTATTTCTGCATACCACACTTTGAAAACCTTTGGGGAAGAAGAGAAGACTTCCGGACATAAGCAAAACTTGGAAAATTCTGCCAGGATGGAGATTTAAGGAGTAAAAAGGAGGACACGTCTAGGGAAACCTGGACGTATGGTCCCCCCACTGCTGGGAGTAACTCAGATGAAACACCGGTCTGCACAAACTGTCCCACAAGTTGCCTAATAGAATGCGTGGGGTGGATAATTGAGCCCAATTGCTGTTTTTTTGTTTCCTCCCACACTAGAAAACAGTTTGAGGTGATTCACATGGTTATAAAAAGCTATTTCACAATGGTCTCAACAGTCACGGGAATGGGGTGGGTGCTCTTGAGGCAGGACTGGTGCAGTGTGTCTCTGTTGTTTTTTGAATCGTTGTCTTTTTTTTTGGTTAACAAATATTGACACTACTTTTAAACTCCTGACCTCTCCCCATTAGCTTTGCCATAGACTTTTGAGGGAAGCAGCCTTTGTTGTCGTTACCTGAGCTCCGTTTCCATGGTGCCTCACGCATAAAGTGCATGTTTTGTTGTGATTCATCCCATCCCATCGTCCACGCTGATGGGACAGAGCTGGTGTCCCTTCGCTGTCACGATTGAAATAAATGCTCAATGGACAAACCCCCCCCCAAAAAAAAGCGACTTCTCGCTAGGGTTTTGTTAGACTTCCTTTCCTCTTTCATATTTACGGTACATGGACGTCTTCTTGAGCACTGTCATCAACGTTTTTTTGCAATCAGTTCAAAACCTCTCGACATGCTGGAAAACTCCTCACATATTTCTCTGTCTGGCAGGTTTTCTCAAAGATTCCCCTCCAGAGACCGTGACAATTTGGAATTTTGTTTTTTCAAAACCTAAAATGATGAAAAACTCGGAAATACCATCACAGGACACGTTTTTTAACAAAGCTGTAAAGGGACACATAAAGCTGTAGTTACTGCAGGTAGAATTCCTTCATAAAATATAAACCTACACTAGAGCTGAACACAGAGTGTTTGTTCAGTTTGTCTGCATTAAAATAGTGTGGATAACCCTAGACTCAGCATGCAAATGCTGACGTCTCACCCACATCTCACATCTCCTCTTTTTTTTTGCAAAACGTTGATTTTTTCATTGCTTACCTAATTTCCTTCACTAGTTTTGTCCATGGAAATCATTGCAACTAGTGGAGATGCAAAGTCTCTTCTCCTAGAATATTTTCTGTGAAAGTGGAGGTGAGAGATTATTATGTAAAGTTAACCAAACTCTGTGCAGGCCTACTATGCAAACAAAGCGCTGGGTATCTCAGACTGCACGCTATTTCTTTTTGTAGGCTTCAGGCAAACCCAGGCAGGATCAGGAAAGTGATTGACGTTTTCCAGAGATGGGCAAATCACCGGCACTCCTCTCCCTGATCTGTTTCTTCCTGTTAGGATCGTCACTTGGTAAGCTCAACAGTGTCTTTGTTTTTTTCTTTCCTCCTTCTGTCAGTTTGACACACCGTGACAAGGAAAGAATTGTGCCCCCTTTCCACCAGGCTTTGAATCAGGCAATGCTGCACGTAGAATGTAAAACCGCAGTTCTGCACTCAGTGATGTCCACAACACAACTGAAGACACTTCACGGCCACATGAATGAAGTTTATACCATAAGTTCAGGAGGGGTAACAACAGACGAGTTCAATCAACCTCTGCTGTCCGCAATTCTTAATCAATCCTGATGTCATTTCCTTACCTAAAACATTATAAATACAACAGCACAGCATGGAGACAGGAGAGACACAACCTGTACTGTACTGCCACCTGACACCCACACAACAGCACAACAGCACAACACAACACAACACAGCACAGCATGGAGACAGGAGAGATACAACCGACACCCGCACAACAACGCAACAGCACAACATAACACAGCACAGCGTGGAGACAGGAGAGACACGACCTGTACTGTACTGCCACCTGCCACCCACACAACAGGACAACAGCACAACAACACAACACAGCACAGCATGGAGACAGGAGACCCGTCCCTGAACAGTTTAGCCATCAGCTAAGTGGGTTCAGCCCACTGTAACTAAAACACTTAATCAATTTTTCAATACGCTGAATTCTCGGGTGTTGTTATTCCTAATGAATCACAAGTGCATTAATCCCACATGTAACGATGTGACATTGTTTCTTATGCGACGGAAAGATTTTTAATGTGGAGCACAACTCCAGGTGTTCATACTGTACACTTATTGGTATCTCTATACGATCTGAATTTCCATTTTCCCGTCATGCATTTGATAGCTGTCACGGTTGGAGGCCCCTAAATGCGAGAACTGCTTTTGAACTTTGTAGCTGACTACACCACTTAGAAACAGGTTCGACGGGTTCTTTTTATCTCCCAGAACCAGCAGCTCGCCTGTAACGGTGCATAGTTCAGGACCCTATGCAGACGGTATAGTCCGGAGGTGAGTGGAAAAGGGCTATTAATGTAAGGATGGCGAACAGGGGGCGGTGCTGACAGTGAACCCAGGTGCAAGAGGGGAAGTGCAGGCAAACAAGTCCAGAAACAGTCCGATGTAGGAAATCCGGGGCGCAGTCCGAAATCCAAACCCAGGAAATCCATTCAAGACAGAACGATCAAAAACAGGAACAGGGACATGGGACACCAGGTTTAAATAAAGAACGGAACAGTGGGGCAGGTGAACCGTGATAATGAAACTAACACAAAAGGGTCGGAGCCCCCTCTAGAGGACGGATGGCGATTGTGACATCGCCCACAGAGCAGACAAGACTGTCACCCTCCATAATTGCCCTTTTTAGAACAGTCCATCCATCTACCCATCACACTGAACCCTTGACATAACTTATGCACGAGCACCATGGTCCCCAGTTACCCAAGAACCCAAGTCCCAGAGGAGCAGTGCAGCACTGCCCTTCTCCAGAAATTGCTCTGGTCGGTGCCCTGGAGTGTCTCTTTCTGCCCCACAGTGAGGAACCTCTGTCTCCTCCACCGGTGGTCCTGGCATCCTCTTCAGCCCTGGCCGGCCTGAGGAATTCATTTGAATTCAATTTATTTTTATATAGTGCCTTTCACAACAAGGTTGCCCCAAGGCACTTAACAATGCAAGTGACCAGACATGTTGTCAATCCAGAACAGAAAAGACCAGAAAACAACGGAGGAGAGGAACCAAAAACTCCTTAGTTAGGAGAAGAAGAAACCTCTAGGGGTCCAAGGAACAAGGTCCTGTGTGCTCTCCGCCTACCCTGACTTTTCTAAGAGTCCTCAGCTCAGTCCAGTTGTGCTCCTCAGATTTCTTCTCCATCTGTGTGTGAGCCTTCATGACTGGGGTGTTGGTCTTGGGCGTGCGCAGAGCTCACTGAACGGGGGGCGGGGGGGAGTTATCATACTGACTGTATGCCAGGCATTGCGGAGTGACATGGCTCCCTTGTTCTCTCCCTGCCCCAGGACACTGGCTCCGCACCACCACTCACCTCAGCGAGCCATGCCCCCTTACTGTGTGGTAACTGAGTTACCCTGTGTCCTTCGGCCCTTGTAAAACCTCATCACCTGCCCCACCGTCTGCATTAGGAAGACCTTAGATGTGGGGCGATGCTCAAGCCACAAAGACAAACTCCTTCCCTTGATACTGACCACCACTTGCAATTTAAAGTCAGAATAGTCCTCTTGCACCACACTCAGATTCTCTCGCCCTGACTCAACAGCTGGCTTAGCGAGACCAGCTCTGAGCTACTGCTCTCACATTGTTATTGTATTTCGCAACGTTTAAACACATTGGTGTGGGGCCTGCAGTGTTTTAGGCAAGACGTTCGGTTGAGCTTTGCATGCCTCGTCATCAGATTTCCCATGATTCTCTGCATTTCTACCTTTCTACAAAATGCGTTTCTACATTGCTGTACGCTGTTTGGCTACTGTGTCAACAGCGAAGCTGTACATGCAAAATTCAAACTAAGCTAAAAACAGACCAAACAAACCACATTCAAATGCTTCCATGGAAAGTATATTTAAGGAGATTGAGGGGGATCTGAATGCGGCCCTATCTGGTTTTGAAATCTTAAAACAGAAGACAAAACAAGCAGGGATTTTTTGTGTAGCTTTGGACTGCATTTGCATTCTTCGGGAAGCAAGAGGAGATGATTGAAGAGAGCCATGCAGCGTGCCGGGTGCTCACATCTGACGGAATCGGAATTTTTTGGGCAAGCTTTGATGTTTGGCAGGGTGTGAAGTGTTATTTGTTTTTCCCCTCTGTTCCCAGGTCAGTCATCCAGCGGGCAAGGAAAAGGAGAAGGAAAGGTAAAGCCCTCTCACTTTTTATGAGTGCAAATAAAGTATCTCAGGAAATGCTGATCCTTTCACTGCACTGGAGCAACAAGTGAGCCTGTGTCAGATAAAAATATACCATTTGCTTCTGAAAGCCCAGTTACTAATATGAATAAATATCAGGTGCCTCTATTATTTTCCTTCCTCCTTCTGTCAGTCTGCTGTAAATCCAGTTGTGGTGCAATTCCAGACTTATCTCCAGATTTACTTTTCCCACTGAGGCTTCCTGATAAAACAGCAATCCTGCTTGTCCCCCTGGGAGCACGCCAGCTCCTAACAACGTGCTCAAGGTTAGTACGGACAGGTGCACGTATGGGAAACACTTACGAAGATGAGAGCTCTCAGATTTTTCAACTCGAGACGGGTTGATCCCCGTGGCCCAGGCCTTGCGGGGTCATGTGACTGGGGGTCTCCTGAGCAGCGATGCGCAGTTGGCTGAAGGCTGCAGGGGTGATGTTGAACCTACTCGGGCAGGGTCCTGGAGATTTGCGATCGTGCAATAGTGACTCCTTTGAGGTCCCAGGTGCCCGTAGACTGGCAGGGAAACTGAGCCATTGCACAGCCGATGCCTCTCCCGAACCTGCAGGTTCCTGTTCTCTCACTGAAGGGCACAGGGGATATAATCGTAAACTGAACTGCTTAAAGCAATAGGCAGTTCCAACTTTTTTTTTTTTAAATGTTAGAGGCAAAGTTCGGTGTTTCGAGTCATGAGATCAAAACAGGTTATGCACTGCTGAAGACCATAGGTGGCCTGACAAGTCCCGTCTAAATGCAGTTCAGCCCTCCTGCCCCAGTTGAATCTTCGTCATACATAACCTCCCCATAATGCACAGCATGAACATGTGAGGCTCCAGGAATCTTCTGCCTGTGGTGACTGTCAGATGTTGGCCTTCTCCAGTTGCGCTGTCAGTCTGGACATATACCGTACAGCAGTCTATAGCTGGGGATTGCAGTTGCCTCTATGGATCGCAGACCGAAACGTGCTCTGGTGTGGGGGTGTATGTCCCCTCATGACCCCTGCCCATGCAGGCTCACCTTCCACTCTGCGATGTCAAAAACAATTTCTACAAGCGGTTGAACCATTCTGGTCCTGAACCCACGTCTCCTTTTCCCACCAGGGCAAGTGCACAGGCTGGGAGACCAAGCTTGCTGGAATGCTGACGGCGCCCATAGACTTCCCACAATTCCTCAAGGATAATGCTCAGAACCTTCCCAAGCTGTCGAGCTCCTGCGTGACGTCCTTCAACGCGTCGGCTAACCTCACCGCTGTGACTGAACTGTAAGAAGAGATGAGACTATTCCCATTCCTAACAGACTGACCAAGACAGCCAAGATGTTTCTCTTTCTTTCAGTTTAGCTTCTTGACAAGGCAGTGAGAACTTCAAACGGTCAATGACCGTTTATTTTATGCAGTGTTAACCTACTGGGCTTTGCATAGACAGAGATTCGTGGGGCCATACACCATGCAATAGTAAAAAATAATAATCAAATGACAAATAATTGTAAAATAACCATTAAGAATTGCAATTTGTACTAAGATTACCAACCCATAAATCTATTATGAATATAAGCTTCATTCATGTTAAGAAGTGATAATTCTACAACACTAATCTATGGCATTATCCTTAGTCTCTGGTTTGGAAGGAAGTTGAACCAGTTAATGGATTGCAGCTGAACTGTGTTTCTTCCATCTAGAATGAAAGTCTTGAACGTGCTCTATGACCAGCTGAATGAGGGCACAAGAAAGGCTGTTTATATGTGGGTGGAGACCGTCTTCATGAGCTACCAGGCCAAGAAGCTGGTGAAGCCAGAGGCCACTGTGAACCCTAACCAGCTGAAGCCCGGGGTAACTGCAAAACCTGATAATTCAAATAATCCCTCTAAGGCCAACGAGAAAGACCAGCAGTCTAGCGCCAGTGGCCAGGGTAAGCTAACTCTGCGTCTTGTGCAGTCACACCCCGAATTCAAACTGCTCTCCCGGACACTGCCGCCAACCACAGAGATCACCATGCTAGAATGTCAGCCCCTTGGTACACTCTTTTGGAAGATGTCTTCCAAAAGACTTGTTTTACATTAGTGTGCTTGGCTGGGATCATCTGGTCACAAACAGGCTATTTTGGCTTCTTTGCATATTCAACGACATTTAAACAAAAGGAAGGGGGCAGTGCAGTATAGTGGAGTATAGTCTCTGACTGTTGAGTTGCAGGTTCGAGTCCCTACTGCAGACACTGCTCCTGTGCCTTGAGTGAGGTTCTTTTGATCCAGCTGCTCCCAGCTGTATGTACCAGTGGGGACCATCAGTGCTGGGGGGCTCACTTCGTTGATGAACCCCACGTCTCAGCCAGGAGTGAAGGCGTGTCTTCCCTGATCACTTCACACCTAGAACCCAGGCTGAGCTCTGAGCTACCGCGTGTGGCTTGAATGGAATTACCCACCTGCCCTAAACAAAAGAACCTCCATTGCCCTCCACGTCTTCCACAGGCTATTCTGAGCGGCACTCAACACTGAAAACACTAAAAGTCACCATTAAAATGACACACACCTCTGCAGGTTTCAGTCCAACTGATTAGCATGAGCGTGGAGTTCAGAATGTGTTCAAAACACCTTTTAGGGAAGCAGATGGG